AAATTGTGTTTTTTTTGGAAAAATTTGGATTTTCCTTAGATTTGTAAAAATATTAATTTTTCTTAAAATATCACACAAAAAGCTAAAAATATTTAATTTAAAAAAATTTTAAGGAAAATATAATTTATTGTTGCGGATAAAAAATTTCCAGAGAGATAGATGAAAAATTGTGTTTTTGGATTCTTAAAATTTAAGAGAATGGTTCCGGAAATTATTCTGACTTTGTAATTCTTCTGGAAAAATGTCTCACATTCAATTATTAAATATTTTTGGTTGATGAAGAAAACGAAAAACATTTTTAACTCTAAATTTTTAAAAAATGCCAATTTTAGTAATTTATATATTTTACTTGGTTTTAAATACTAAAATAAATTATACACAAATAATTATTTAAAAACAAAATCTCTTCAAACTTTCAGTATTTATGAAAGGAAAAATTGAGGAACGAAAATATTGTTATTTTTGATGGATGGATTCTTGGAATGTAATCCTCAAAATTACTTTTAGAATTATTTACATAAGTCTGTAAAGAATTGTTGAGAAAAATAGCCAAAAAATTTTTGGGAGGAAGGAAAAAAGTTGGGAAAGAAGTGAATTGCCTGACAAAGGAGAGTGCCTGGGGTATCCGCGGGACTTAGGGATGAAATTTGTTAGACAGGTAGATCATGCCCTACTTTAATTGTGAAATTTCCACCATTTCCGCTAAATGGTGCCGGGGACCGAGTTATAAGCCCCCAAAAAAGCTACGGATCTTTTAGAAATCTTTTAGATATTTGCGGACTTTTAAAAAAATAATTGCGGACATTTAGACAATTTTTTAAATTTTCCTTTTCCGAATAAACTTTATACTTTCCTGCTACCCACTAATTAATATAAAAAATTTTCACAATAATTAAAGGAATGGCCAATATATATTATTGTAGTAATTAATGGCCAACTGGGAGAAGGCCGAAAATTAAAAGAAACCCCCAAGAAAATGAAAAATAAGGAAATTGGCATCTTGGTGTGTAGACAATAAAGAAGGGAAAAGCAAAATAAAAATAAATGTAGTAAAGGTTATGAGAAGGAAAATATGTATAAATAACATTGTAAATTAACCTTATTTTTGCATAATAAAAGAAGAAAAAATAAAACGGGAAAGGATATTTGTGGATGACTGCCTGAGATATATTAAATATAAATAAATTTTCTACTTTTTGAGTTGATTTATAAAATATTTATAATAATTTAGTATAATAATTATCCAAAATAAGGAGACATAAGTTTTAAAAATCAGTAGAGTCAGGATTTCTGAAATAAATAAATTGTGTCCGCAAATATCCCGCCGTTTTACGCCTTGTGGAGGGAAAATAAATTTTTGTTTAAAAGAAAAATTAATTAAATTTAAAAAATATTAATTTAATTTCAAAAAGAAATTCAAAAAAATCTCAGAAAAAGTATCATATCTCTAAAATAAGCTACCTTTTTGCCTGTTTTAAAGGTATATTTAAATAATAAAAACAAAAATATTCAAAACGATTAAATTTCTTTTTCTCGATTTTCTTTGCTCGATTGCCCTTCGTTGAAATGCGCATAACTACTAAATTGTGGAATGATTGATGACCGATATATATATATTTATTGAATGATTTGAATTTGTGGTTATATTTACAAATGGCCTTGACTAAAGTTGAAAAAAATAGGGAAGGAATATATACGGGGGTTATGCAAAACCTTAAAAAGAGTAAAAAGTTCAATAAAGAAGGGAAAAGAAGAAAAAGATCAATCTGATAAATTGTTGATAAAAATTGTCGGTAGAGACTTTTGTAGTGATCAATAGAAAATCTCGGTTTTGATAAAAAAAATTTTTAATCGAAGGTTCTGATCACTTTTTACCGTAAATTCTCGAATAACTCTTTTCAAGTTCTAGCCGGAGAAGTGGGTAATTGGTGGAAGGGGGTAATTGAAAGGGAGCAATTACTTCTAGGGAGGATAATTAATATTTTTTTAAATTTATTATACTTAAGGGTTTGCCGAGTTTTTAACAGCATTTTTTTAAATTAATTCCATTTTCCTGGAAATACTTTTGGAAACCATACATAAATATCAAAATAATTAAATAAATTAATATAACGTATTTTATTAAATTAAAAGTGAAATCATTTAATAATTAATTAATTGAAAGGATTAAAAAATTAAATAAAATTATTAAATTAATTTTTAACTCGCATCATAGTAAATAATTCTAAATAATATCACACTCGTCATTTTTAATTTCTGAAAGTTTCGGCAATAGGGAAAATAGATTTATGTGCTAAATGGAGATTCTAGCTACGAGAAGTTGCGCTTTTTATGATAACGAAAAAATTGAAGAAGTTTTTGAAGAAAACTTTTTTCTTCAACTTCCTTCTTGAAGAAAGGTCAAAAATTGGAAAGGTCAATTATAAAAAGGCCATCAACCAATTTCAAAATTTTTTTAAAATTTCATTAAGAGGAAACAGGAAAATAACCAAATATAAAATTTCAATTAAAAAATACTTTTCCCCAATTAATTTTTAAGAGGAAATGTTTTATTGGGGAAGGAAAAGCCATATCATCAAAAATAAATTTTTTTCTTCAATTTTTCATTAAAAAATACTCTCATATCAAAAAATATTTATTTATACTATCCCATTTCAACTAAATTTTAAAGGCAAAATTAATGTAAAAAAAAAAAGAATGGCTTCCGTAATTTGCATCTCTCGAAAATAAAATCCCTTCCCTTCCCCCTCTTCTCCCACTCATTTTATATTCTTCATTATCATTTTCGACGGCCTTTTAAACCTTTAAAAAGCTCACAAAAAATTCAAAAAATAAATAAAAATTCTGACAAAAAATGAGATTTTCAATTGCTTTAATTGTTTTTGCTTTTATTTTGGTTATTTTTAATTGTGCTGAATCTAAAGATGAGGGAGGGAATCAGGAAGAGATTGAACAGCAATACCAAAATAGAAGACTTAGATCGTTGGCAAATGGCCGATGGCAGTTGAGGTAATTTTTAAAAGAGAAAATTTTAAAAAATACAAAGGATCCTTTATCTAAAAAATCTTTTATTTCTATATTTTGTTCCTAAAATTTCCTCTAACCTAGTCCTCCTCACGTAGTTGAGCAAGTAAATTAAATATAATATCTAATATACAAATATCCTCAAGTAGATTTCGATATTTTATTTTTAGCAGTCCCCATCATTTGAAAAAAAGGATCCCGAGAAGTAATTAATTCGAGTAAATATTTGATCGAATTAAGAGCCCGAATTTTTATGAATAGATAGGGGCATCATAAATTTTTGCACGAAAAACACTATCTCTGCTTGTTTTAAACATTTTAGAAGCGTGTTTTTACTATTTATTATTTTCATATTTTTTAATATTTTAGACCTGGAAAAAGATTCGTACCAGGAAATTATTACTATCAAATGATGCTCGATAATTAATTAATTGCCAAAGAGAAAAATTAAAAGAATGAGGAAAAGGAAGAGGAAAATATTTTTAAAAATTTCTTTTTGTTTTTATCACAGAAATTAGCAATGAATTAAAAAAAGATTCTTGAAAAATAAAATAAAGTTGTCGGATAAAAAATAAAACAAAAATCGGTTCTAAAAAGCGGAGAACTTTCTCTACCGTCTCCTCTTTTTCAACACTATTTTACTCATTTTCTAAATAATTTTTTTCTCGTTGGTTAATTTTATTTTAAATAGATTTTTTTCTCATTTTTAAATTTTTTCCCCATTTTTAGATTAAATTCTCTTTAAAAATAAATTTTCGTAAAATAATTTTTTAAAAAATTTCTTAAAATTTATTTTTTAAACAATTGTGCTTTTTGATTTTTGAACCAACCCAAATACACAATATGGTCAAAAAATAACTATAAAATCGCCCTTTCACATCCCAGCTGTTGTCACACACATTTTTTTCTTTTATCAAGTGAATACTTGCCAACTGACTTGAATTCCATTAAATAAGCTAATCGAATTCTTTAAAAAATTGTTTCTAAAAGAATTTAAATCTTGTGGATTTTTTTATATTTAACCTGTTTTTTTATTAAAATGACGAGAATATTTTTTCCGTTTTTATCCTCGTAACCAAAATTCCCCACACTTCCCACATTCCTCAATTGTTCCTTTGCCAAATTCTCACATCCGTGAATCCGAGAACGGGGGGAGGGGGATGGATTTTCCCTTATTCTTGTCTCTTTCGCTATACTTAGCCCGGCTCTCGAAAGATTGGCAACGGAAAAAGGGTTAGCGCCAAGTTTCTTCCCCGCAAGCTAAATTCCCGGTTATCGGGAATTTCGGGAGGACTAGAAAAGGGTTTCCATCATGGACTTGTTTCTTTTGTTTCACGAAATAACTTCTTTTTTTTATTGTAAACCCAAATTTCGCACACGAGTTGAAAAAAAATTTTTAATGCCATTCTATTAGAGAGTGTTATTATAATTTTCGATTTTTCTATATTTATTTTTGGCTAAAAACGAATTAAACGATTTTCTTTTAAAAACAACCATATGTGAACTAAAACTAATTAAATTATATTTTTCTTTGTTAGAACAAACGACCTTGCTCGTTATCCCTTTAACTGGTGTTTATTCAAAAGCAAAAACAATATTTATATGGAAAGGAATTCGATATTTATGAACCAAATAATAAAAATTGCGGTTACATAAATAAATTATTGGCATTATGTTTTTTTATTTAATTAACAAAAAAGCCGGGGGCTTTTTGAGCCCCATTCCACCCGCCGGAATGGGGCTTATCGCATTATTTCAATCCCGTAACTCTATTTTTTTATCTAATTCTTAGCCAAGTAAAAATAAAAAAGCCCAAGCAGCATCCATCTAACCGAATCATTAAATAAAGAGTTTCACCTGAGCGTAGCAGCGAGACTTGGGTGTCCCTTACAAAAGTTATCCTTTATTCTCTTTGTTTTTGTTTACGTGTCCTCCAAAACAATTTTGTTTTGCAGATAAAATTAATTAATTAAAAAGAATGGGCGAACGACGAATTGACGTAAATAGAAGTAACAAAAGTGTTGTGGACTCAGAATTTGATTCAATGCGCGATCGTTTTGAGAATGAAATGCGTCGTGTTGATGAAGAAATGCAGGTTATTTTTTTAGTTTGTTTTAAATAAAGATTTAATTTATTTTTAGCGTTTACGTCAAGAATTTGATGGTTATCGCCCAGCAGGGTCGCGCACTTCTCCACTTCCACAACAACGTATTTTTTAGTTTTTATAGGGATTTTATACCTTTAGTTCCTACCCAATCAATTACTAGAAGTTACTAGGAACTCAAATTGTTTTCTTAGGGAACTCAACTTCTATGTAAAAGTTGTACTTATAATTCTTAAATAGGTAATATTATTTTTTAAAGTTTCAACCAAATTTTAAAGCCTACCTCAAATTGGGTGTTATCTTATAGTTGGGCCCGGACCAATGCCTGGGTTTTTCCTGTACCAAGAGTTCAGGCTCAGCTATTTTTTACCTTCCTGGGTTTTTCCTGGACCCAACTTTTATATAAAGTCATGGAACAAGCCTTTCAAAATCTCGATCTCTAATATTTGAATAATTTCCAAACTATTAGGATAACCTCCATTTTCTACCTTTATTCAAAAAAAATTTTCTAGGTCTAGGCAGTACTTACAGCACTTCTTCACCAGCCACCGGTGGCACTCTTCTCTCGTCTCGTCCAATTTATGATCCTTACTTCGATAATTTGAAAAGTCCTCTTATTAGAGATGAAAGTGATGGAAAATCTTTGAGACTTCGGTTTTTTAAATTTATTTTTTAAATTAAAATTCCTTTAAAGTTTTGACGTTTCTCAATACAAACCAGAAGAAGTCACTGTCAAAACTGTGGATAATCGTTTGTTGGTTTATGCTAAACATGAGGAAAAGAGTCCAAGCCGAACAGTTTATCGTGAATATAATCAAGAATTTATGCTTCCGCGCGGCACTAATCCAGAAATGATAAGGTTAATATTTGCTTGAATTAATCGGTTATATTAGGGAATAAGTACTGGGCAGAAACAAGCTTGTGACGGTCTAATCTACATTTGAAGTTTAAATTTTCCAAAAAATTCCTAATTTAGGTTAGATTCTGGTCTCGATTAGAAAGCCTGATCTATTTAGGATTTAGTCCAATTTCTAGGTTAGTATGGTAGTAAGTACTTGGCTGAAACAAGCTGTCATTCCTGAAAGATTTCTACATCCAAATAATTAAGAATCTGGTGGCAGATGCCATGGGTTTTGATTGTTCAAATAATTTAGATTCGGGGTTCGATTGGAAAAAGAAATTTTGAGGACTCCATTCGGTACAAGTCCCAACCTTTATTCCTTGAATCTAGCAGTTCTTCTTAAAATTATAAATACTCATTTTATATAATTTTCCCATCTTTGTAGCTCTACACTTAGCACTGATGGAATTTTGACTGTTGAGGCTCCTTTGCCACAATTGGCTATTAAATAGAGAATAAATTTGAGGAAAATGAATTTTATGGAGAAATAGTCCCAAAAATGTTTTGAGCCTTTTTTCGGTATTCTTTTTAAATTTAAGTTTCCAAAAAATTAAAAAAAAAAAGCTCAAAATAAAAATCCAAATAACCGTGCATAATCAAAAAAAAAGTTTGTTAGAATTTAAAGAAGCCTTTTTTACTAATATCCCCTTCCCTTGGCTAACTTTTTATTTTTATACTTAAATTCTTTTAAAGTCCCAAAAAATAGAAAATTCATAAAATACTTAAAAACAAGCAAATTCTGCTGCCATTTATGCAATTTGTTAAAATTTTAAAGGTGCAAATAAATTAGTTTTATGTTTTCTTTATTCTGATTTTTTATTAGGATTTTTTGGGCAAATTAGATAATGATTTTGATAAAAATTTGTAAAAGAAAATCTTTGGAGAGAATTATGGGATTTAATTGTTTTTTAGGGAGAAAGTTCTTGGGAGGGGGGGGGGGGGGAATCCCCCTTTTGATGTTTTCTTTTGATTTACAACATCTCTGGGCCCACCTCTAGTTCCTAAATTCTAATTAATGGACCATTGATATAGCCCGATTTCTAATATAAAGAGAAGATACATATTTTTAAGATGAAAGTATTTGATAGATCAAAATCTCCTATTTTGAGAATGAGTTTTCAGATAATCATTGGTTGTTAACGAGTTTGTCTCTAATTCATCAGCTATAGAATGACGATTGCACTGATTAAATTTTCTGTTTTTCCGAAGATAAAGAAATAAATGCATTGTAGAAAATAAAATGAGAATCTGAAAAATGAGAGATTTTAACTGAAATGAAGAAACAGATTTAGTGACTCTGCATTCATAAAAAAGGGGGGGTTAGATCCTGAAAGGGGAGTTAGACCCGACACAGGATTTCCGTAAAAATGGAGCGGTAGGTGTCCAACTCTGTCTTTAGTTTAGATAGGGGTGGCGCTATAATTTGTGGAGCAGTATACAATAAAAATGGAAAAAACGTCTCGTTTTAGGGGGAGAAGTCTCACCTAGTGTTCGGCGAACAAATATTTTCGGTATTAATATTCTAAATAATATGTTGGTAATACCGAACCGTGTCGAACACTAGTTTGAACACAAACCCCTTTTTTAATTTTTATCGTTAATAAAATAATTTACCTCAAGTATTCCAAGCAATAAAGTTAATAATTTAGTAATTTGTAAATGTTGAAGTAACCAATCTGTAAAAGGCCCAACACACCCCTAAAATAAGCAAAATTATCCAAATTGAAATAAATTTTTAAAAAACCTGTTTATAAATAATTTTGTCGAAATTTTCCAAACTTTTTCCACAATTTTGTGTGTGATTGAATAAATCGAGATTAAAAGCTTTTAGATTACAGCAGCTGTCTGGTACGAATTTTCTTCCCTTCCAGCCTGGATAGTAAAACCAATCGGAATGAGAAATTGCGCCACAACAATTTAACTAAAAAAATTAATAGGAACTCATAAAATCATCTTTGGCACTAAAATGAGGGAGAGAAATTTAAATTGATGGTATCATTTATTGTTAGTACTTTAAATTGGGGGTATCTGGTATTGGGTGTAGAAGTTGGTGGTTCCGAATTAGAAAAGTCTGGAGATCTGGGAATACGAAGATTTCGTAGGAACCACTAACCTTAATTGGGTCCATCTTATAACGTGCCCGACTATTAAAGAATTGAAGATTTTCTCTTATTCCTTATAAAAAGAACAAAAATCCTTACGATCGGTTAACCAAAATTATTTTTCAAACAGAACATATGGAAAATTATTAGTGTTAAAATAGGTGTTCTATAATTTTCTCATAAAACAATTTAAAAATATTTAAAACTAACATCACTCTGCATTTGTGCCCAAGCATTCCACAAAATATCGGCATTTGGATTGTCTCCATAAGTTAAATTTATTGTATGCCGAAGATTCAATTTTGCATATTCATAAACACTTTCTTTATATAAAACACCCATCAAACCAGCAATACATTGAATTATAAAAAGGAGAAGAACAAAACAAAAATACTTAAAAAGTAAAATTTTAAAGTTTAAAAATTTTGTCCGCAAAGTTCGTCCGCAAATAAATTTCTGTTTGAGAATTGAAAGGATTTTAGAAAGCAAAATCTTCCACGCCTCTATTCATTATTCAGCCAGATTTGTGATATATTTTGAAGTGTTTTAGGCCAAAACTGCAAAAAATTAAATTTGCGGACAAAACTTGCGGACAGAAAATAAATTTAAAAAATCAAACCGAAATAATTAATTTACTCGAAGTAAACCAAATTCCAGCAATTCCAACAAGTGAAATAATTAAAACCATTGCACCAACAGCAGCACAGAGACCAGCTGCGGACATTGACTAAATTTAAAATTAAAAAATAATTTTTAAAAATTAAAAAAAAACCGAATAGCTGCTAGGTGCCAAAATTGAATAAATATTTTTCTGTAAATAAAGCCATATTCCTGCAACTAAAGCACCCCATCCAAATGCCTTTAAATTAAAAAATTGAAAAAAAATAAAAATTCAAACCCAGAAAATAACGTTTAAAAAAATAAAAATTTGTCGTTGCCGACGAAAATCAAAATAAATTGACATTTAGTAGAAAAGTTGGGAATTTATTAGAAAAATAGTAGATAATTAATTAATTAGGTGGCCGAACGTTTCGTCACTAAACTTTTCGTCACCGAACCTTTCGTCAAAACCTTTCGTCACTGAACCTTCCGTCACCAAACCTTTCGTCACTGAACCTTTCGTCACTATTCACCATAAAAAAGAGAATGCACATCTGGATGGACAAATTTAACAAAATAGATTTACGGAAATTAAGTTGAATAAAAGAAAGTCATATGAATGAAGATGAAATATAATAAACAAAATTAATAACTTTTTGATAAAAAACAAATAATAATAAGGATGTTAAGTGAAATAAATTTATTTTGATTTACTATTTTTACTATATTTATTTTTACTAAAAAATTATTTTCATAAATTTTTTTACTCCTATTGGCTAAAATGGACGTAGGTTCATCATCAGATGAGGGGCAAATTTTTTCTTCATCTTCCGAGGAGATGGAGGATTTACTCGAATTTATTGAAGTAAAATCTAAAAGAGGTTCATCTCTCTTAACTCGTGACGGCTTTGAATACCAGTTTGAACGTTATTCTGCCGTGGATAATCAAGTTGAATATTGGAAATGCCCAAAAGTATGGATTATGTTTGGTTTTTATTTATTTGTTAGAGACCTCCGTACTGTCCGGGCCGTATCCATGTCGCGTCAGCATGGCATGAAGGAGACGGGAACCGTTTTAAAATCGGATGGATAAAAAATGCTAACCATTCACATAATGCTGAGCCTTACAAAAAAGAGGTAAATCATAAAAGTATTTTCCGGAGTATTTTTTTCTTAGATTTTCCGGAGTATTTTTTTCTTAGTATTTTTTCTAGAAGGTACTGCACTCTTGTGCAGTAAGGTTGGCGGATAGTTGGAAATCTTCGGATATCCGGATCCGGATCCGGTATCCGATCCGAAATTTTCGGATATCCGGATCCGGATCCGGTATCCGAACCGAAAATTTCGGATATCCGGATCCGGAACCGATATCCGAACCGAAATTTTCGGATATCCGGATCCGGAACCGAAATTTTTATTTTAAAAATTTTCGCCTGCGGCGCTGAAAAGTTTAGTCTTATGGAGGATATAAAGGGATTAGGAGCAATTATGATTGGATTTGGTGATTAACAGTGTTATCGAGGGAATTTATGCTTAGCAGAGTTATGTAGGTGTAATATGTGTGGAAAATTTTGTAGTTTATCTGATGATTTGTGAGAATTTAGTGGATTTGGGGGAATTAGTAGATACATCGGCTATTTCCATATTTTTGAATTTGGTAAATTGATAGCTGGGATCGTGGGATTATGAGAATGCTGGTAAATTTTGATGTAAATCCTCCTCATACAAATCCCTTTTCTTCCTATTTAAGCGCCGCAGGCGGAAATTTTTTTGTAATTTTGGAAACAAATGAAGCCAAATTTCTTCCATTTTCAGCGCCGCAGGCGAAAATTTTGGTAATTTTGGAAAATTAGACTACCAGATGTTCCTTTTCCAGCGCCGCAGGCGAAAATTTTGGAAATTTTGGAAGCTAGGCTACCAGATTTGTTCATTTTCCATCGCCGCAGGCGAAAATTTTGAGAAATTTGGAAGGCCATTGTGCAAGATTTCTTCCTTTTTCCCTAATTCTAGGATCCGAACCGAAATTTTCGGATATCCGGATCCGGATCCGATATCCGAACCGAAAATTTCGGATATCCGGATCCGGATCCGATATCCGAACCGAAAATTTCGGATATCCGGATCCGGATCCGGTATCCGAACCGAAAATTTCCGGATATCCGGCCTTTTTTCGGATCCGGATATCCGGATCCGCCAACCTTATTGTGCAGTACCTTGCATCTTTGCTTGTCTACCCACGAAACACGTTCAAGGATATATTAACGTTTTCCGAGCAATTCAAAATCGCATTCAAGACTGGGCTCCAGAACGTGTTATGTGTGATTTTGAACAATCTGAGATATCAGCTGTGCGCCAAGTCTTCCCTCATGCGACTATTACCGGTAAATCTTAGGAAGAACTAGCTCTAGAAAATTTTTTGAGGATGTGTTTTTCATCTTGGAAATGCGTTATACAAGCATATACAAGCACTGCCTGCTTTATCTGCTCGTTATAGAAATAATAACAATGATAAAAACTTACTCCGATCACTTCAGGTATCTACCGTATTTCCTCCAATTCATTAGAGTTTCTTTCCTAGGCTCTGGCATTTGTGCCTATTAATGAGGTTTACACATTTATGTGTATTTTAATTTATGTGTATTAATCTCCTATCATTTAGCAACACAGTAAATATAACTAAATTACCGATTATGATCAATTTGTCATTTTTGACAACTTCTTATTTGATTTTTAAAAATAAAGTCCTGGTGACGAAAGGTTCAGTGACGAAAGGTTTGGTGACGGAAGGTTCAGTGACGAAAGGTTTTGACGAAAGGTTCGGTGACGAAAAGTTCAGTGACGAAACGTTAGGGAACCATTAATTAGTAAATAATAATTAAAAAAAATTAAATAATTTTATAAAATTAAATAAAAAAATAAATCGACAACAAAATGGCCAAATTGAAAAGTAGTGAGCCCACTTCGGCGCCAGTTAGAGGGACCTCATGTGGGCGCACGGTAAGGTATGAGTATTTTGTTATTTTCCCATTTAATTTATTCAGGCTGTCAATTAAACCCCTCCCTCATATTATATCAATATACGTTCCGATTTCCTTTTTGGTTGATTGGGATGTTAAGGATTTCCTTGGAGGGGATTTTGGATGGAGGAGTAATTAGGACTACATCTAATGTTGAAGTAGATGAACAAAGATGAAACATTAAAAGCTTTTAGTATTTGTGAAGAAATTTGGGATTAATTGGAACTTGAAAATAGAATACTTACATATTATCTGCTTCTGGGAACGACTTCCTCATCATAGACGAAAAAAACTATTTTCCGCTCTAACAGAATATAAGAGGTCACAATAAATTTTATCCAAACACCACTGATTATGGTGTTTGGATTGGGTTTTATTCAACGAAAAAAAAATTCTTCCAAAGGTCTTTTATTAACGATAAAACTCTCCAAAACGTAATCAGAGCCATTTAATTTTATTAAATAAAAAACAATTTATTGCAATTTTTAATTATTAAAACGTGAATATATATTTGTGTGTGATTATAATATAATTAATTAATTTATTTGCTTATATAATAGCTTCTTCTCAATTATTGACTAGCCGCATCTTCACTACTCTTTTCCAAATTTAAATAAATTCCTCTTGAAGTCGTTCATAATCTTTTTTCCCCAATTTTTGTCGAATACTTTCTGCCGCTCTAATAATATCTTTTTCTTGAAATTCTTCCATTGCTGGAGGGCTTTTAACTTGGACTGTGTGGTAAAGACTTCTTTTTGAAGAGGAAAACTTCTTTTTGTAAACATAGCGAATTATAGCTAATATTAAAGTTATTAAACTTAAATAAAATCCAATTTTGACGGCCAATTCGAGTTTCCACCAATTATCGCTTTCTTTGCTGTTGTTAATGCCAACAAAACGGAATAAATAAGTTGATTCTTTAAAAATTATTCTTTTAAAAATGGATTAATTTTGGGGAGGGAAATTTCTTTGCCATCGAGTAATTCTTGTTTCGAAAGTTATAAGTTGGAAGCTCGTACCAAAATTCGTACTCGTACTGTGTACAAAGTATGAGTACGAGCAAATTTCAAAATTCCAACCACTGGTTACAAGGACGGAAAACCATCCACATAAATTCTCTTTTATAAAATCCAATCTATAGATTCTAAGGACTAGTGAAAATTTGCTAGTGTTTGGATATTATTGAGGGGGGGGGGTGTTCTGACTAGGCCTTTCTGGCCCTGAACATTGCAATACTTATTTGATTTTAGCCATTAGTGTTGGGCTGAGTAAACGGTATCACGACTTTTGCGCCGAGAACATTTGCGCCGCGACTTATGCGCCGGGCGACTTTTGCGCCGCGACTTTTGCGCCGAGCGACTTGTGCGCCGCGACTTTTGCGCCGGGCGACTTATGCGCCGCGACATTTGCGCCGCCATAATTTTAAAAAAATAATATCTACAGCCGGACCTAATTATAGTGTACTCCTTAAAAAATGGTATCCAGGAGCTGATGGAATTTCAGGAAGTGCAATATTTCGGGAAGTACAATAGCCCCCTCTAATAAACCGACCCCCTAGAGGAAGGTTGAAAAATAAACCAACCCCATAGAGGTGTCATTTTCAAAGGACTTGACATTTTCGGATCAGGATTTTTGGTCTGTTACCCCTAAAAGGCATGATTCTCTGCCAGAAGATGGTGCACTATAGTGTAGGGGTCGGGTCTAGACCCGACCCCTACACGCGCCGCAAAAGTCCCCCGGCGCAAAAGTCGCGGCGCAAAAGTCCCCCGGCGCAAAAGTCGCTCGGCGCAAAAGTCGCGGCGCAAATTTCGCGGCGCAAAAGTCGCGGCGCAAATGTTCTCGGCGCAAAAGTCACGGAACCGAGTAAACGATACTTCCAATTTTAGTACTTAATTTATCCTTGAAAGTCTTTGGATTTTAGTAGCGATACATATAACAGTAATCTTTCAACTCTAAATAAACACCCAAAGTTATACCAGAAGGAAAAGCCATTGTTATTTTCTTCCATAAATCTCCATTTGCTTGTTGTTGTTGATTTTGTTGTTGAATTTTCCTTTCATTAAGTTGTCGATGAAATATTTTTCGAATATTAATCATTTGGGCACACTTTATTTCGAAATCCCGATTATTTCCAAATTCTTTCCATCCAGTTATACAAAATTCACACTTAAACAAACTAAATTTTTGTCCTCAATTTCTTATTTTCTACCTGAACATCTTGATCGGACTGACAAGGCTTCTTTTCGCTGTAATAAAGAAATAAATTTTACCGATACAACGGCATAACGTTTATAACGACATTAAAATTTAATTCATTCCCTACAATTGTCATTATAACCTGAGTCTG